ACAGTTATCGATTACCAAATCGGTTATAATGAGTCGGTTGATTAATTTACATGTAGTTTTTAATTAGGAAAATGCAATAAAATTGGTTAATTAAGTTCTTTATTAATCAAAATTTGCTCAAATCTCGTTTTTATAATGTGCCTTATTAGCATTAAGGAAAGTGATATTTTATATTAGAATGCATTGCAACGATTCTTGTATTTTTTCTGTATTCGCTGACATTGGAGTTGATTCTGACTTGAATTTATAGTTATTTGACGGATCTCTTTTGTTCTCTTCTGCTCTGTTAGAATGTAATGCAGAGTGAAAGAGATGTAAATACTTTATGTTTTGCCAAATTAGTTGGAAGTCAAGCAATCAACGCCAATTTATTTTTTTTAATTAGCAGAAATATTTTTTTATAATAAATAAATGATCTTTTACTTTTGTTTCTTTTTTGTTCTTAATAATCCTTTTTTTTCCTTTTATTAATTATAGGTCATTCTTCAGGTCAGTATATAGGGTGTTTTGTATTTTGCTTGAAATATTGCTTTCATACAAGAAAAGCACAAATTTTTGATATCACAATTTATTAATGTAACAATATACTTTGAACTACTTTTACTGCCATAATTTTTATAAATACATACCTACATATTTCTAGTATATAAAGAGACACCTTACTTACTTTAAAATACGGTCCAAAACCATTAAAAAAATAGATATTATTTACTGTCGTTTGTTTCTATATTACAATAGTATTTTATACAAACGTTGCATAATGAGCCTTCTTGAACTCGACTACCGTGTTTAGGCCACGAGGCTTGCCGAGTAAGTCATAAGTACGTGATTTTAAGACCTAATTATGTTATGATTGCACACAATACTTTTTCTACAAGTAAATAAAATTGAATATCCTTTATATTTTAACTAATCTTTATATATATATTGCCGGTCCTTTAGGCCGATTTAACCAACCAGGTGCCAATAGTAATTAGCAAAAATATGACGTTGTTTTTTTGACACATTGTATTAACAATAAAACAAAGTAATCTGAAGAGCGCCTTTGTGATATGGATTTAAGTACAGAGGCAAAAAATGGTTATATCCACTGTTTTAAATAAATTCTCAATGCATGGACTTTAATATGCAATACGTATTTTAAGGTACGTAAGGTGCTATTTATGTACGCCGGTCTATTCTTTACTTGATTTATATATAATTTTTGCGTTTTTTTTTTGTTCCTAATCATTTTAAAATTGCTGCGTCGTCTGTGTCTTAGATATAAAATTGTACCTTATTAGTTATGTTTACCAAATTATATGTTTCATGTATTTGATACATACGTTTAATTCATACGGCAAAAGTACTAAGTTTGCGATTTATTCACGTATATGTTAATGTACTTTAGTAATAAAACCTCGTACGACAATATGTTGAATACTACGTCACACACCAGTACAAATCGCACATGACCATAGATGGGCAGTGGGTTAAAACTCAAAACGAACGGCCGGATTTTAATCTACTTCTGCCCAAAATCGCGGGCAGAAACGGCGAGCACAGAATTTGGTATAATTCCTTACTTATTACAAATTTCGATGTAAAAAATCGATTTACTTCAATGTGATTTTCAAGCGAATCGATTCAATTGAATGGCAAATCGAATCGTCCAGATAAGAAAACACTTTGTAATAATATCATTAAATTTGTGCAAATCTCTATTTAAAACGTATAGTTTTTGCCCTCGATTTCAGACATTAACAAAGCGCCTGGTTAAAACCCGGGCGCTTGCCCATCTCAGCACATGACAACTATAACGTAGTATTATCTTAAATATTACGTTACGATTTCATTTGAAAAGTGACAAGACGACACTGTTACATTGAAATTAAATAATAGACGAATGACACGCATAATACAGTGTAATTTTTGAGATAAAATATAATATAACGCAATTCTTGAGATAATACTATGTTAGTTGTCACGTGCGAAATATGACGAATTGCAAACTTATACTTTTTTTCGATTGTACAATTAATTACATTAGCAGTCCGAATAAAAAAAAAATTCAAAAATTTTCTACGTAACGTTCAATTAGTTTCAAAACTGACAAATTCGTTGTTTAACCCTGTGGTGTCGTAACAAATTATTCACATTTTTGAACGACAATGAAACATATACGTGGTACCAAATTGGCCCCATACCAATGTCATTATTAAGCAGAAGTTTTAGTATTTCTAGTGATGTCTAGTCTAGTGAACACAAATTTTATCGATAAGTTATATTTAATCAACAACATTAAATTGAATGCTTCTTTGTGACTACAATATCGATTACGAATCTACATTTCTTCTTTATCTTATAAAAATTAACATTATTATTTTAAATAAAATTCGTAAAATAGATTAAGTGCTTTTCGTGCTTCTTTTCCCCGGTATATTTCGTATACCATTGAAAATTACAAAGAAAAATATAATGAGATAAATCATTTCATCGTCATAACTAATTTTAAGAAAATCCACACTTGTTTGGCACGAGCTGGCTGGCTGGCTGTTTTTACAGTATTAATGAATACAGAAAAAAGTATTGATATGTCATAACATAGGCTAAAAGGCCTGAAATAAATAAGATAATATAACACATTTTTGAACTAAAAACTAATATTCAAACCATAGATGCTTAAACAAACTTGTACACAAAACTAAAGAGAAAAAAAACAAACTTATTAACTGGGATAGGTACTCGCGACTCGAAACTTCGCAGGCACCTCTACCTACTAGACCACCTAGCTACTAAATATATAATATATATATAATAAATATAATAAATATATATAAATAAAAATATATATATAATAAATATATAATAATTTACAGTATATTTAATTTGTAATATACCATGAGCTTTTCGGGGAAAAAAAAAAAAAACATCGTTATGATACCTGCAGGCCGAAGAAGGTTCGCAACCTGCGTTGAGCTAGCATAGCGGACTATAATATGATATACTTTGTTGCGGATATACCTTAAATCCCTTCAATGAGATACCAAAGTCACACTTGTTGAGTTTTGCCTCGGATACCTCGATGGAACTGGATTTTATTGACTCTGATTAAAATTGTTATCGATAAATGTCACTAGCAGAATTGGATTCGTTATACTTAAAACTTCTGTTTAATCATCGATATCGAAGGTCGAGCTTTACTTAGCTTTAGTCGCTAAAAGTAAATTTCGTTGGTTAGCCGTTTTAGAGACATAACGTCGCCTTACTTTGTCAAAATCATATTTTGAACAACAAAATTACTAAAATGCAAAAATTTGATTGTATATACATATATAAATGCTGCAAGCTGATTTCACACATTTCTTTCATATTCACACACAGGCTCTTACCTATTCAGATATAATGTTTTGCCATCTCCTGAATAACCAATCTTTATAAGATACGAGTTTTAGAAATTAAGGCGATAAGCGTATTTTACTGTCCTCACTAGGATTTTGTGACGGGACGAACAGGTCGTGCGCCTGATGGTAAGCTATACGCCTGTCCGTAACAGTTGCAGTGCCACCCGAGCTTCAAATCGCAAATATCTGAGGGGCACTGCCATTTCACCCGTCACCCTGAGACTTAAGTTGACAAGTCCCGTGTGCTTGTAATTTCACCGGCACCCTGACCCTACAAAATCGGAACACAGTAATGCTAACATTACTGCTTGGCGGCAGAGATAGATAAGGTGGCGGTATTTCCCTGGACGAGCTCTTTCTCAAGGAGTTCTACAGCTTACAGAACCTTACCGTAGTAACAGATTTTTTTATTGTGGTTTTTCATGTACTGAAATCTTAAACTTACAAAGACATACATTAATACATATCAGAAAAAGACGGTGTTATGTGTAACGTATGATTATAGGGTTCTAGTTTATTCCGTACAAAATTGAATCTGTAATATCCTCTAAATCAGAGGTTCTCAAACCTTTTTGTCTGGTAGACCACGTGCCGATTTTTCTGTTTTGCGAAGACCCCTCATATGGATTTTTTCAGTTTGACAGCAGACACAGTGCTAGTCAGAATCTATATAAAAAAAATTATTAATATCTTGTTCATTGTGAAACGTTTATGTTACTTTATAGGCGATTTGTGTCTGTTATAAAAAATGTGGGTAAACCTACCTACATAAATGGGTTCTAATTAACGGTGATGCACTCTTTTTTTATTTCGCTGACATAAACTCCTTGTAGGTTGGAGTGCGCACCCAGGGGTTCGATATATTATATCACTTTGAGAATCATCGCTCTAAACAAAGAAGCGACTTAATCACGTTACAAACAGATGTAAATTTGGTGCGGATATGAAACAACATTTATTTTTACGCGTCTAGAGCCGACTTAAGCACGACTTTCTGGCTACATTCACCTAAACTTCTAGATATACACATAGAGAGGGTAATACCTCCCACTAAAACCGCGCAAATGTAAAAACTTACAATTACAAAGCTTACTTCTAAATACACATAAAAAATATAGAATAAAATTCAATACAATAATTTCGCGATTTCAGAGTGAGGTGTTATCCAACTCTATGTACTTCCTTGAGGTTTAGGGAAATATAAATTCTGCGTATTGGTCAAATATCCAGTATTCGATTGCGACCAGTGTCACCAGCGAAAATTGAAACAAGTTTCGTGGTACTTGACAAATTGCAATTTTAACTAACACTAATACAACTAGGGTGTTGTTCGTTCAATAGAAGCACTAATCCACTATTGTCTCTAATGTTTTTATTAATATTTCTGTCTGACAATTTGATTGGACAGTTAAAAAACGGGGTTTAACCCAATTAAAATTAACGTGTTAAAGTTACCTATAATTGACTTCATTTTGTATTCACCGTCGATTTTAATCAAATTTTATTTGACTGTTGAACTCGATTTTCTCTACATTGATGACATAATGTCTGTCCAATATAGAGTTTAAGTAGCTATATAAAGGCCTCTATATTGACACGTACTTTGTCTTTTTTCAGTAGACAGCTACCAGTATCAGCTTCAGTCGATGTGGCAGAAGTGCTGGAACACCAACCAGAGCCTGGTGCATAACTTGCGGTTCCGCGAGCGCGGACCCCTGAAGTCCTGGCGGCCTGAGACCATGGCCGAGGCGATCTTCTCCGTGCTCAAGGAGGGTCTGTCGCTGTCCCAGGCTGCGAGGAAGTACGACATCCCGTACCCAACGTTCGTCCTCTATGCTAATCGTGTCCACAACATGCTTGGCCCCAGCGCCGATGGCGGAGCAGGTATGTTCGCTCTTTTCCAATTTAACAAGCGATCTCACCATAACTGAAAATATGTTGGAATCCTTCAAGTCTGACCTTTGAATGTATAATAGTGTCTACCGCTTTGTCCGTAAAGTTGAAAGTTCCGTGGAACGAAATGAATTCTTAAAAGCTTTGAACCTCATTTTTTTAAAGTTTACGTTGTACTTTCATAAGTACTGCTAAGGTATTGGATAATTTAATGATGTTAGTAAAAAAGCAAGTATGTCGCGCATTTCTAAAAGAGTAAATTTGAAATAACATATTTTCGGTTATAACAAAACGTAATTTCAATTTCATGGGTATACATTTTTCAAAGCATTTCTAAAGTAAATAATACTTATGCAGTTGATTTCGTAAATGTAATGAACGGGAAGCCATGAAACTGAAGTTGATTAGTATTCTGACTGAATTTGATTTTTACACTATGTCTCAACCTGTGCATTGTAATAACATGTGCGTATTATGCGTAAGCGAAATTATGCTAAGCGATGGTTTATTGTATTATGTACAATGTTCGTAATTACTTCTAAGCATTGTTTGACGTAAGCAACTCGTGTATCCTTGTAATGTAATCGTGTGTCCTTTTGTGACAGCCTGTTGGGTTCACAATGGTGTAGTTTCCAATTTCCTAGCGGCTGTTGTCAAATTTCTGTCCAAACGGCCTGTTCCTATAACGTAAACTAGATGAGAAGAGGCGGTCAAATATTAGTAGCTAGTAGAGTGACTGCGGTGGTGTAGAACGGGAACGTGATACGAGCGAGTATACGTCGGACGGTTTGCATGAATTCTTAAGTATTTTTTTTTAAAGTTTTTCGAAAGGAAACAACATACCGCGTCTGCGCTTCACTACGTTTTCTCATATGCCCATCTATGAACTGCGTTTTGCAAATTTCAATGGATTACAATTCCGTTTTGTTATGTCGTAGATCTTCGAGCGATAGTAAAAAATGACCCGTTTACATGTCGGTAGGTTCAATCTACGCCAACTTTATTTTTTGATCCTTTTCTGTTATTTTGTATTTATTTATTAATATTGTGCTCCCCGAATTATGTGAAAACAAAAAATAAAGAAACAAAAATCAAAATTCGAAAAAAAACAAATTTTGTGAAAAAATATAAACAAAATAAAAACAGAAGAGGTTGGTCCTATTCTGTTATTTTGTTTTTATCTACTAATATTGTGCTCCCCGAATTTTGTGAAAACAAAAAATAAAGAACAAAAAACAATACTTGTGAAAAAATAAACGAAGTAAAAACAAAAGAGGTTCAAAAATTAAGTCGACGTAGTATACATACATTTGGAGGTATCGATCTGGCACAGAGTGTCAAACTTAGACCGGAATATACCGACTTTGTATTTGTATTTAATCCGTATGTATAGCAGTCGCAATAAACTTAATCTTTCGAAACAAAATAGTAGTGGAATTGAAACTTAGAAAATCCAACCGAAAACTACACGTGTAGAAAATGTTGACTCGGTTTTCAATATTTGTTAACAATTTAAACCTAAAATATTGGGATGTTACATGATAATCAAATAGGTAATAGCTTAACTTAACGTAGAGGCAGACAACCATAAAAAAATTGACCTCAAGTACGTCATTCGGAGAAGCTCATAACTACCCCATTGTCAGTCAATGTCTTTGTAAATGGTGCGCTGCCTGTTCACGCTCTACTATTGAATGGAATTGCAGATCTGAGGCCGAAAGGTCGCGGGCGGCCGCAGCGCATCTTGTTGGGCGTGTGGCCCGACGAGCACATCCGCGGCGTCATCCGCGCCGTCGTCTTCCGCGACTCTCACGCACCTCACGCCGCACACCACATCAAGGAGGAAGTTCTGCCAGGCTATCCAGCTATAACGGTCAGTATCGTGCCACCGCAACGACATACCCCTAACTCAAACGTACTTTCCGCTTCTTCCATACCTTCGTCCCCGTAGCTCGACGGCTTTGGGATCTTAATCGACCTGAATGTTTGCCGTTGCGAATGTGCTAATGCGAAATTATGTGGATGATCTGCCTTGGCCATTTTTTTTATGAAGTGTTAAAATCTTGTTGTGAAAATCGACCGCATGGAGAGTTTCACTCGATGCAAAAGCTCTCACACCTTTTTTTGATTATTCCGCGTTATTACAATATACAAGGTGACCACTTTGTTCAACCAGCTCTTGCATCAAGTGAGGGCCATAGTTTTAAGTTAAGGATTCGAAGAAGTTCTCACAAAATTGTAACTTTGTGGGAATATGCGTGTTGCAGGATGGCATGCCGGTGCAAAACGCCTACGGAAGCGTACCTTGCGGAAACGGCCGCGAGGGCGGGGTGTCGCCCAACGCGGCGGCGGCCGCTGCCGTCGCCGCCGTGGCTCATGGCCTGCGCCGCCAGATGTGCAACATGGTAGTGGCGGCTCAGCGCCCGCCCGACCACCCGCCGCATCTGGGCCTGCCGCCGCTGCCGCTGCAGTCCCCGCGCCTGCCGTCCCCGCTGTCCGCAGGCCTGGAATCGCCGCTCTGCTCCCCGCCCCCGCCTGGACACGCGCTCGAGCCCCCCAAGCCCACCGACCCGTTCCGCCCGTTCGCTTCGCCCCGCCCGGATAGCCGCTACAGCGAGCGTGATGTTGTCTCTGAAATAACTGACATGGGGCCACCAAAGACTCCAGTAACGATTGCCAAGAATGGAAAGGATCAACTGTCGACTCCCGTCCCGGTGAAGATGGAGCCGCCTTCTGCGGAGACTCGTGCCGAGAGCATCTGAAGCGAGGCCGCGGGCGCGGCCGCGGCACACCCCTCGGTCGGGGTGCCGCCCTCCCCGCTGCCCGCTTATCCGTATTTCGTTCCCAACCGCAATTCGGTCGGCTACTTCTAAGTGGCCCGCGTCGCGTGTTTGTCACCATGTATACGACATTCCACAATTCAGACCCAGACCTGGCCTGCAACACCGCGGTTGGATGACAAGTCGTGCCGAGACCCTGCGCCGGCAGACTACAGTATTTAATCGTTTCTATGGTATTCGGCATTACTTTACATCACATATTTAATTATTATTATTTAAATGGACTCGCTGTGCAATAAAATGCTTGTTGTTTAGTTATGAATTTTGTATTATTATGAAAAGAAGTAATTTTAGTTTACTTTTAAGTTTTTTGTTAATAGCTATAGCCAGGGAGCTCCAATACTATGGCTCCCGGCCGTTTCTTGTCACTGTCGCTCGGTGTCTCTTTATTATCTACTCAATAGTAGATCGTCGAACTTACGCGTTAGGCTTAAAATTAACCTTCTACTTAGATCCATCTGTGAACATCAAAATTGTACCATTTGGCCCGATTCAAAAGACTGTTCGGTATACCTAATCATTCAATCAATTTACGTGTAAGACAAAATTATGAATTAGCCTTAGATGTAACCGTAAATTATTAACATAGATGTAACTTCTCCTTCATCGTCAGATCGATGTCAGTTTCTCTAATAGCGATTATAGCTGAAATGTGTGTTGTTGCTTGCGGCAGGCGGCGGCGCGGGCGCACGCCTGCGTCCCCTGTCCTGCCGCCCCCAGCTGATTGTTCACTGTTCGTGCAGCGATTCACGTACGAGTAGATATTAGTTATCGCCAAATGTAATATAGATGTATCATTAGCGAGTAGTGATTGTTCCAAATGTTAGGCTATTTTAGATTCGGGCTCGACTTACACCTCTGCTTTTAATGCCTCACTCACAAGGGCAGGACATAAATTTGTAGTATATTGAACAACGCTGAAGTGATATAAAATTATTTTCGATTATTTACATCAATAACCGCTACAAACATTTAAGAGCGTCCTAACTGCTTACAATTTGTCCGTGTTTATATTGTAGAGAATAATGTTTCGGAAGTACTCGTAAAATGCAACAAATGCAGGTAAATTTAAATGTTACCCAAGCAGTTTGTCTGATGCAGTGCAATGCAATCTCGTGCAATTAATAGGATCAAAGGCACAGATGTCGGCGAGCCCATCTTAGGATTAGAAGCACTAAAATCGCCAAGCAATGAATGTTTTACCATTCGAGTGTCTGCTGATCTACGCGTAGCTAGTATACAATTCAATTTACTTAGATTATTAGCTGTGTAACTATATGTAGCGTTCGATCAGATATATTCATGCTAATAACATGGGGTTTCTTTTAATTCGCTTTTAACGGACTGTTCCGAGGGCGTCGCGCGCACGCGCAGCGCGGCGGCCACAGCAAATGCGCTGTTTGGTGTGCGGAACATGTAGTCTGCGCAGTGTTGCCACCTTGCCCAAGGAGGAAGAAGCTAAACCTAAGGCTGGTTTCAGAGCAGTGCGGATTGCTCCGCGCGGAGCAACACGCGTGGCGTTAGTTAGGATATAGTTTCCGAAAGTGGTCCCCAGTGGGCGCTAGAGAGTCCTGTGGGGGCCTCGGAAGCAATTGGAGCGCCTTGATGCTGTTCATTAGGTGAAAAAAACCTGAATTATCTACATAAACTACACTATATATATATTTCCTTGTGATTTTTTGTGTTAATATAAAAAATACGTGTTTTCAATTATTTTTTTCTGGTTGTGGGCGCGTTGGAATTTTTTTATCTCGCCTAAGAGGGGGGTGAGTCTAAAACTTTGGGGACCTATGCGTTAGAACACCGTTTTACAGCGACGCGGATTGCTCCGTGCGGAACACGCTCCGCGTGAACTTCGCACGAACACCGTGCAAGTTACCCAGTGAATATCTGCACTAAATTAAATACTCGATTCAGAGCAATGCGGATTCTACGCATACGGATGGCCCGCACGCGGACAGTTGTTGACAATTCACAGCTATGAAACCTGCCTTAGTAAAAAAGTTGCTAGATTCTAAGAAATTAATTCTGAGTAAAGTTGCCAAAAGTGACTAAATTAAAAATATACCTATGAGATTGCGTTTTAAATATATATTTATCCTAATTTTACAAATGGTTAACCCAAAAGAATGTCATCAATATCAATCAAATCATTATTACCTTGTGACGTTGAAGGTCCAGCTTCATGATTGGTATTTGTTTTTGCTGAAAGATTTTTTATGTAACAATTTTGTAAATGTGGCTAGATCTAGCTGGAAATGGACTACCGTGGCAACACTGAGCTTGCGTGCTCCTTAATGTTGTTAGTATGAAAAATTAAGCATATATTATTGTACAAATTTGTTTTATCAATATGTTCCCTATTTTTCATAGTTTCGGCGGGAAAATTTTAGCAAAATCTTCTTGCTACAAGGGTATACCATGATTTTTAGGTATTTTTGGCGGACATACGTTGGCGTTCGTTCTTTCGTACATTAGATGGAAAGGGCTGGTGGGGGGTGCGCCGGCGCCTCACGGCACGGCGCGCGCGCTGCTTGCTGGAGCAAGTCTCGTCGCAAAACACGCTCGAGTAGCATGTTTTAAAATAAATCTCCAAGTGGCCTTGATACTTCACTTTTATTTGGAATTTGGATTGTCCGATTTGGTTAAAGTTTGGATTAGAGTATAAAAAAGACCAAATTATTAAAAATACATTTGCGATTCAGAACTAATGTTGATACTGTTTTGGCTATCCTTTTGGAAATAAAATTTAATATAGGTGAAAATTAAAAAGAAAAGTTATATGATGGCCTATACGTTTCGGATGAATTGCGTAATTTTTGGTAAATGTTACTACGCATATTTTCTATTGTGTAAGTCTAGGCTAATGTGTTCAAAAAGTAATTAAAAAATTAAAAATTTTTGAAAGTAGAAAGTGCCTTCCAAATTTTTGACCACATAAGTGTTGGGGTGGGTGCGGCGACGATCGGTGGGACGCGGGTCACGGCAGCACAGCGCCCAATTGTGGACTTCGCACTTACGCGGGGCCACTTTCTCAAATGGCCTTTGCTGCCGTATCACCGCGCAGAACGTGCTTAAATATAAAAAGTTAGAATATAAAAATTCAAAATTATTATATAAAAATTGAAAACATATGACTATTATATAGAAAAATTATACATAAATTATATATTTGGCCGGAGTGGTAATACCCTGACAGGCAAGCGTTAGCTAACTTTCGGTATCAAAATTAACTATTTATTTAATGTAACACAATTTTAAATTTAATGGAAAAGCAATGCAGATTTTGCAAAGTGCCATTTATTTGAACTGAATAATATACGATTCATTATATCTTCTTTTTTGTATCACGTGGATTTGTAGTTATAATTAATTATTACATATTGATTAATTTATTGTACTGGAAAGTATACATTTCGATTACATAAATAAGTACCTACGTTATTTCCGTGATAGATAAGTACCATTTACTACCTACTTACAGTATTGTAACTAACTACAGATGCGGTATTGGGTGACGTAGATGACCGTAGTTTTACTGTTCCCAGTTAATCTCAATGTTCCTTTGACTGCAACTGGCAACTCTTACAAACAATTCTTGCATGACAACTTGTTTTAAATTATTTTGTTGGTGTGATATAAAAACTTTCATTAATAGAATGTAGAACAATATTATAATTTCGAAATGCCTATAAAATAGTAGGTGCCTAATATCATTATTATATTGTTGTGTCACAACCAATTATTTATTTCAATTTAGTGTTTTAAAGGACTATAGTCGAGAGAGTCAGATATGTTTTCTTATTACTGTTTGTGTCTACCAGTCTTCGATATTTCAGAACTGTATTTCTTCTTCTGATCTCACAATGTATGTAATTTAAAAATTAGACAGATGTTTTTATTGACATAAAATAAACATTTCAATTATATGTCGTTTACGGCTGTAACATTTTTTTACTTTAGGTTGCGTATGCCTAGAAATGATAATATTATAAAATGTTTTGGGTTTTTTTACACTTGTGACTTCATTTCTATCGTTTACAATCTATTGTAAGTGTGGTATTTCGTAATGTAACGTAATTTCTTTACTTTCAAATTACCATAAACACTAAATCTGTATTAGCAGAGTGTGAGTCGCTCAAGGTCAACGATGACGTAGAAATGTAGAGCACAAACCAATGAGCTCCATTAAATCACCTTTAATTTATTAAAGGACAGTTATTGTTCGAACGTTACACAGTCTGCACTGCTCCTAAAAACCGGTTCAATTATTTCGCAGGTGTAAAAAATTCAATAAATCGTCAAAATTAACTTTCGCGCCATGGTTGATTACGTTTGTGAACATCGTTATACAGACGATTATGTTTTGTCAATATATTGTTGTTATGGTTTTTCTTATATTTCAATAACTTGTGTTCGTGATTATACTTATTCTGTTATTGTATAAATATTTTAGTTTTGTGAGCAATCATGATTTCTATATGTGTAGAGGTTAAAAAATATATACACAGCGTTCTCCTCTTTTGACAACAGGAAAATGTAAAGCAAACAAAGTCACTTTTCTATATGAAAAAAATAAAAAATAGAGGACCTAGAGTTGAAAATGAGTAATTTAAACATCTAACTTAGATTCACCGCACTACTTGGTTACCAGGAGTGCAGTTCTTATAATAGGATGTAGCTCTGTAGCTGTGAGATTAAAAAAATATAATTATAAAAATAATGTCCATCTTTGAGATGATCACTGTTTTTTTTTTCCATTGTAACGTAGCTACATATGAAAATTTAGTAGCAGTAGAACTCCTTAGTCAATGAGTTCGTCCAGGGAAGTAAAGCTACCTTACCTATTTGTGCCGCCAAGCACTAATGTCAGCATTACTGTGTTCCGATTTTGATGGGTAAGAGTTCTGGTGAAATTACAGACACGATCCGCCGCTGGTCGGTAACTTCAATGGCGGCCTAGCTTTTGATACATACTCTAATAGTGCGCACCCTTACCGGTGCGGTCAAAATGTATTAAACATGTCGTCTTCTCTCTTTACACCCAAGTCAATATGACACGGTAGGTAATTATCCAGTGGCGTCGAAATTTTAAATTTCAAAAGAGGAGAACGCGGTGCTCACCAAATTTATCTGTATCAAGTACAGTTGTAAGATTGATGTCTTTTCGTCGTAACCATAGTTATCTGGTACATGTAGTTGAAGTATCCAATAACTTTCAACATCGTATAGTGACAGTTCATCGGAATACATACATTTATATTGTGTAGTAAATGTTTCGAATTATTCAATAATATTAAGTTCGTTATTGTCACAGTGTAACGTTGTCTGAATGAATAATATAAAAATAGTGCAAACAATATCGTTTCATTTGAATACACCTTCCTGTTAGATTTCGTAAAATTTAATATGACTCGTAATGTAGAACTTATAAGCATAATATTATTAGAAAGTAAGTTGTAGTTTAGTTGGTATAAGTGAGTACGTAGATCTCATAATCAGTTATAAAATAAATCAATAGGGGTCCCGGTGCCCTTCGCCTATAAAAAATTTTATACAAAAATTCCCGACAGTCATTGCTGTCGACGACATACGACGGGGGGCACTGCCAGCATCTTGGGCACCTTGCCGCGGGGACTCAATTTTATTCACATAATTGAATCCTCTAGTATTTAAGTTTTTATTGTACCTTACCTATATTTCAACTTATTGTCTAATAACTGCTTTCCGTAGAATTACAAAAAAATAGAATATCACAAACCTTGCTAACTACTAGCGCCATCTATGTCCAAGAAACGAAATCACTATCACTAAAGGTTTTGGAGTGAAGACGCTATTTCGGTGATGCGGCAATCAACCCCTAGATGGCATTACTCAAATTAAAAACAAGTCATGACGAGAACTACTAGCGCCATCAACGTCGAAGGTACTGAATTACCAGACACATTGCATTCGCGTACAGACGGCGCAACGACACATTTCTTGGCTGCAAAGGTGATGCGAAAGTATTATTGCTTGCGTTCCCACTTGTAACAACGCGGGCAACTAAGGAGCTCCACAGCTTGGTGTAGCAGCTGCGTGCAAAAGTACCTATATCGGTGGCTTTCTAGAATTTCCAATAATGTTTGTCACGGAATCAATCATTTTTATCCAGTGAAATAACAAAATTTAGTACATTTTGAATGCGGCTGCAATAAGTTCAAAATTTTAGCTTGAGTAGCTATTCTTGAAAATTAGCGATTTTTTTATATCTAGTGACGGGAAGAACAAGTCGTGGGGTTTTTATTACATTTTAAAATAAAATTGTATACCATAATAGACTTGACTATCTTCAACTTTTGACAGGTGTGCCTGTCGAATGTGGAAAAATATTAATTTTAGTGAAAAATATGGTTTTTTCAAAATTGAAGTATTTTCCATGACCCAACACTACACACCTGACATAATGTCCTATAAGTTATTTACAATTTCGTTACAAAAACTCGTTTCCACCCCCTGTCCGCACTGGTGTCAATTGAACCCTTACGTTATTTTCGATTAAGTGGTAATCACTACCATGGATTTTTCAGTTGCTCCCGGTAGTCTTACCCAGTAGTCTTACCAGTAGTACTACTGGGAGTTTTCATCCCAATAAACTTACTAGTAAGATTACACGGAACTTTGTTCCTAGTAGACTTACCAGTAAAACAAAACAATATTATAATGTAGACCTGAGAAGTTGTTATTATGACCACACCATGACATATTATAAAACATTTTCCTTGACATCTTGTCACATAATATTCATCAAAAGGCTCAAATTATTTTGAAATATTCTACTCAAAAATGTGTGATATAAATATAATAAAAAGGAGACGAGGTGAAGTGTTACTATTAAATTTACGCAGAAGTTGTATAGTATAAAGTTTTTCTTTAACTATATTTTTAAACCTCGTAAATGGCAAAGTTTGAAAATCAACCGGAATCTTATTATTGCATACGTAAATAGAAGCGTATAGCCCCGTAAATGAATTTGTAACATTGTGAAGACGGATATCAAGAACAACTAGTTTATTTTTATTCCACTTATTGGTGTTGTAGTATGTCTGTCACTATTTTTCATAAAAAGATTATCTTCTCTTCTTTCATATTTCTCAGACTAAACAGTCCTAAACCGTAAACAGCACTTGTTTGCGGTGTAAAAATTCTATTAATACCGGCAATACCCCCAATACAATATCAATTTTCATATAAATATAGGTGACAGTCCGTTAGTAGGAGCACATAGGAGGACATATTTATCCCTTTTGGTCCTACCAGTAGGAGCGTAAGGACATATTGGTCCTCGTGCTCCTACCAGTTGGAGCACCCAGTAGGAGCAAGAGGAAACGGCCGAATCTTCGATGTTGAACGTTCAGCAAGGCAGTGAGGAGAGAAGCGACGGAAGCCATGATAAATACTTGTTGGACACGTGGTTAACGAAAAAAAAACTTCCTTTAACGGAGTAACCACACGTTATTAACGCGGAACCGACCCGGTCTGAAAAAGTTTTACTCCCGTGCAACGATTTGTTCACTCTTACTACATATTTGCTCACATCTTGTCATAATAAATTAAAATTAAATGAAAACATTACGAACCTATTCGACAAAATTACAAATTGGATGAACACACACCATTTTGAAATTAACTTCACAAAAACAACAAATATGACATTCCATCCACATCAAAAGAAAACTTGACAAGTAAATTTCTTTTATAACGGTATTCAGAATCAGTTACACAATTTAAACTTCTAAGCCTTATTATAGACCATAGATTTAGTATATATTATAGACACACA